GACTGTGCACAGTTCTTTAGAGGAAGATTAAAATAAATTACCCATTGTTTCCCTAATTACTACTTCTTTCCCTTTCATTAACAACATCCAGAATCTTCCCAGGAGGGATTAACCCAGCGGTTCTCAACCTGTGGGTCGCGACCCCTTTGGGGGTCGAAAGACCCTTTCAAAGGGGTCGCCTAGGACCATCAGAAAACACATATATAATTACATATTGTTTTTGTGATTAATCATTATGCTTTAATTATTTTCAATTTGTAACAATGACATTGTGGGTCACCACAACATGAGGAACTGTATTAAAGGGTCGCGGCATTAGGAAAGTTGAGAACCACTGGATTAACACCAACTCCACATGTAGAAATGGCTTCTACTAGTATTCTCTTAAGGCAATCAAATCAGTCTTTTATTTCCTTTGACCACTCTGATTGATTTAGCGATGGATGGTTCAACCAAAAAAGACTATTGAGGCAAAAAAGACTCCATTCCTGGGTTATGGTTGAGCTATGGAGGAGGTAAGCTCTGTGTTAGTGGACCTGAAGCTGGAGCTGGGTCACTTCAAGGGCTGATTACTGTCTTTCAATGATAAGGGGAGAGTCAGCTGAGAAAGCCAGGAGACAGAGGGTGTGATATTGTGTCCTGCCGTTTCCTTTATTCCTCTGGCCCAATGTTTCCAAGTTTACCTCAATGTGGTAGCAATCCAGACCCCTGCCCAATCCTGCTGCCTCAGAATCTCCAGGGAAGTTCTGGGAAAGGAACTACTCAATACTCACCTTAAGCTAGTCCTAATGTTGACATTTTCAGGAATATGAACCAATAAATTTCCTTTATATTCTAAGAGAATTTGAGATAGACCTGTTAGTTGGCAACAGATGCATCCTAACAGAACCCCACTCAATTCCTTTCCTTTTTTTGTTGTTGTTCAATCTTTTCTTTGCAGAGGTATAAGCATAAACTCTCAGTTGAGTTATTCTTATGTCTCGAATAAAGTTCAAAGGACAATCTCGGTATTTCCATAACAACCTAGAAGAAAACAGGTTGAGAAATAGATCTGTCAATCTCTCTTCCCTCCCACTGGTCCTCCCTCTTGCCCTCCTTTCTTTGATTAAATAGGCCCTAGGACACCTGTCCAAAAGTGTTCCAAATTACTCCTAGAAATCTGAAGTCCTAGGCTCTCCAAGATGGAACTCACTGCAGTAGATCACCGCATACCTCTAAGTGATGGAAACAGCATTCCTATCATTGGGTATGGTACCTGCCCACCCCATACAACGGTAAATTTATCTCTCTTTCTGTATTGTTTTTTTTTTAAATAAGAAACTTTCCTAAAGTATAATCTGTAATTCATTTTAAATGGATCTAATTGCTTCACTTTTTGTAATAATGAAAGCAACATCCAAGGACTATTGTTTGGCTGAATGAGTATTGAGCCAAACATTAAACTAAATCAATTTGTGATTTAAAATGATCTTGGATTAGAGAATGGGACCTTTCTGCTTTCTTGACTAAAATTCAGCGAGGTGCTTCTTATTTTATTGATCTCAAGCACATGAAATTAATGAGTTTATGGCCTATGATTTTTTTTAAGTTCATATTTGAGCACTTTTAGTTCAGTCTAAAATGCATCTCTGTAGCAATATGTTTACAAATACATCTCCTAGAGCAAAGGAAACTATGGAGAAAATAAACAAATAGCACTATATCAAAATAAGCTTCTGAACAGCAAAAGTAACCATCAACAAATTGAAAAGGGAGCCCACAGTATGAGAGAACATTCTCACCAACACTTGCTGATTTTTTAAATGTATTTAAGTGTGGTTTTCATTTGCACTTCTTTTCAACTCTACATGAGATTAATTGTTCATTTTTTTATTAGCCATTTGGAGATCTTTTGCAAAGTGGCTGTGTCTTCCACAAATGTTTCTTTATTGGATTCCTCTTCTCTTATTGCTATAGTGGATTTTTAAAATATCTGCATATGAGTTCTTCATCAGTTATATCTATGTGAAAATATTTCTTCCCACTTACCTTTTTACTCTTTTAATGAATGGTGTCTTCTGATGAACAGAGATTCCCAATTTTAATGTGCTCACCTTTAGCACTCTTTTAATTTATCTTTAGTACTTTCTGTGGCTTGTTTAAGAAATCCTTCTCTACCCAAGTGTTAAATTGGGAAATCTGGGAACAGCCTCTGAGAAGGAGATTTGCACGTAGGAGGCTTATTGAAGAATACTCTCAGAGACCAGACCTGTAAGGGTGTGTGAAGTGGGGACAGATGAACTGCGATGCAGTTGCTCATCAATGCCACAGGGAGTTCTGGAATGGGAATGGTGCCACAGAGATGTGCTTAGTTCAGGTAAGAGCATCAGGCCTTTATACCCTGGGTCATCCATAGAGGGAACCAGATGTGAGTAATGAGCAGCCAACACTTCTGAGGACTGAGGAAATGTGGTTCATTATGACATGTTCTACCCCTGCTGTCAATTGCTTTTATATGCTAAGTTCACCTCTGGGAACAGCTCTTCCAGAATTCTGTTTGGTCTGTTTCCTGGGAAAATTTTTAAAGAGGTAGGTTAGCAGGATGAATATGGCCCTTGCCACTAAAGCTGTCTTCAATTATAACTTCTACTTATTCTCTTCTTCCCAGAATACCCATTCTAAGTTCCCTGTATCCTTAGCCAATATCTCTGCTATTCTGGGTGACTTACCTAGTATTATGTCCCAAATCCTCATCCCTGAGTTGTCCGAATCCCTAATCAACTACCCTCTCAAGTCATGGCTGCTGCCCTGTCCATTAACAATCACAATTGGTAATAAGTATATCATTGGTTCACCCATCCCCTGGTGATAAGGTATCGTACCCCTGCCAATATGGCAATTCTTTCCTTGAATGCTGAACTCTTACAATAAGGAGGCTGATTTCCCCTGTGAATTAGGACCTTTAGAGTCAAAGAGCCTAAAATTCAGGGATGGGAAGCAGGAATTTTCCAAGTAGGTCAAAGGGAGTGATGCTAAAATGAATCACTCCAAGCGGGTTTTCAGACTCATGTATTGTACTTATTACACAATACCATACAAATATGTTGCCCTAGGACATATGTTATATTCTGTAGTTCCAAAGACAGAGAAGCATTTTTCAGACTGTCAAACCTCAGATGGAAGGTAGGGGAGGGGAGGGGTAAGGGGCAGATATCAACCAAAGGTCTTGTATGCATGCATATAAGCCTAACCAATGCACACAGACAACAGGAGGGTGAGGGTATGAGTGGGGTGGGGGGATAATATGGGATAAGGACACATATATAATATCACAAGAGAAAAAAGGAAGTTCATCCTTAAGGACTTGCTCATTCTC